TACATGCAACCACCTTGTCAGCAACCAAGGCTCCGGCTGCTTTTCAGGCTCTCGGTCACTGCCCTGTCAAGGATGGAACATCCCTCAAAAGCTATTAACCTCACCGAATTGGCGTGTTTTTAAAAACAGGGGATCCCCAAATGGAAGCTGTCCATTTGGCTTCCCTTTGAAACAGACCCAGAAAGGCCACGCTCAAAAAGTATCTCCCAACATTCCTATCTCAAGCAACTTAATGCAAGCGCTGCCCAAATTGCCATGCAAAAAGAGCCCCACACTTCCATCTCATCTATTTCTCCTAACACGGCGCACTGCTGCTCACGAGGTTGCATAACGACGCGCAGCTAGGGCCAACTACAGGCCTCCTACCAGTCGCGTATATGTCGGCAAAGGCAGGCTTGGATCTGTGCTTCATGCTGGGTACTGCCTTCCATTGCCCGGAGCAATACACATCAAGCAATCGCTGGAGCAGCAAGTCTGCGGAAAACCTAGCGGCAGCGTAAGCGTCAGCGAATTGTCTTGCTTAGCAAGGCAACCTATGGTTCGGAACTTGACAACACACGGCTTTGCCAGCGCATGTCAACATGTCACGGCCTCGACTGCAAAGAGCAACGGCCATCTAATTTTGCAGCCACTCTCCGTGGCCCTATGCAACAAACTGTGCAGGCCTCCATTCGAAAGGAGGCCCAATCATCTTCTTGCGATGGATCTCTACCACCGCAGTCACTCAGGGACCTGCAGCCTCCTTTTTCTCAGCTTGCCTCGGTGACGCTGACCCCTGGCGACTTGGCACTGCCTAGGGACTACTCGGGACAGCTGGAAGACTTGGAATTTGAATGACCGGTGCAAACATTCGAAGGTTCCACCTTACAATGGGTGGACAGAATTTCTTCCCTGTGCACAAATTTGGCCAGCGCATGTTCAACTAGTGGGCCTCGTTTTTGATTCTGGGGCTGTGAGCTGATTCCTTTTTGCGGCAGCACTTTGACATATAACGCACAACCAAAATCTTCAGACTACCAGAGCAAATATCATAAAATACCAAATAGTGCCAACACATCACATCACCTCGCACGTCAAGTCACCATCCCTTGATAGCTGGTCACACCGCGTTGGGACGATACTTCACCTTGACACCTTGCATGCTGCGTGGCATGCACTTGGTCCTCAACAATCCAAGGCCCACACAAGCCAAAGTCGATGCAACCAAGCAGCAGCCCGAAAGCATCTGTGAGGCTCTTTGGGCCTTTGTCCAACTTTGCATCGGCCTGAGATACAAAGTCGATTGCGGCATTGGATGAATGTCTTACATGGCAGCTTTAACCCTCCGATTGCTTTTGGCACCGAGCTCCACACCTAGCCCCAACAAATATGTACAACTCCCGCGGCAACTTTGCTGTTGTCTGTTTATGTATGTATTTGTAATCTACGCGTGAATGTATGTTGTATGCAGTAAATGCATGCATGTGTGTATGTGGGGGTTCATCACGATTCCTGGCCCCCAAGGGTAACTTTTCCAAATTAGTGGGGCATGTCATCTTTTTAGTAGTTCTCCAACCAATGGTCATCCCATGCATCACGGACCTTTTGATCAACCCCCATGTATGCAGGCGGAAGGATGGAAGGATGCAAGAAAGGAAGGGAGGATGGAAGGATGTCGCATGGAATGCCACAGGCCCACAACACGCATGCCGTGCTGATAGCTTGGATTCAACCAGAGGTTTCACCATGGCGCTGTAACGGGTGTTTCGGAGTTGGTTTCCTTTTGGCTTCCAAACTGGGGCAACGGGGAGTCCACGGCATTGAGCTCAAAGGCCTCACAGTGTCTGAGTCGGTCCAGCCAGCTTGGCTGCAACAAATCAAGCCCTGATTGGGACTCTTAACCCTAGTGACCTACTTGTTGCATCCCGAGAGGTCTAAGAGAACCTTGCGAGTTCCGTTGGCCCCAAAGTATTTGCCCACGCCTCGAGCGTTGGCGTTGTGTCACTTCGCGGAGACCTGGCAAGTTGCCACCTACGCGTTGCTCAGCACCAATTAACAGCATCGGGGGTCTCTAATGCCAGGCCACAACTAAATGAATGAGCCCTATCCAATGGAGGCTATTCATACCCAAGTCAACCCAAGCATTTGAGGTGTCCTGCTGTGAACAATGAGGGCTTGCAAGGATGCCTTGAACCATTCACCAGAGACAATTGGCGCACCAATGATGTTGAATACTAAACGGTGAATGGCAAATGATGTGTGGCAAACTATATATGGCGGATGATGCTTGCAAATGTGACATGGTGAATGGCTAAAGGTAATTATGAATGGCGAATAATGACAGTCGCATGATGCATGGTTAGTAATTGTACTGCAACGGGCGCCAATGAACAACGCATTGCCAGTGCCTGATCCACTTCAATCAAGGGTTAGGACTGCCATTGCTGCAATGGTCAACGCCCTCGGAACCTTGATGAATCCCGAGTGGCCAACAGCGTAACAACAACCAAATCATAGCAATCGGTTGATCAACGCTCAACAATGACGGTCATCGAGCGGCGATTAGTTCATGTTTGGTTCAATAATAGGCCAAAGCTTGCTGTTAGCATTTCAACGCCTACTCCAAAGCTCTGGGGGAGCTCTCTTGGTCATTTTGGACACTAAGGAACAACAACAATTGCCTTTGGATGGGGACCGACTAGGTTTGCTTTGATCATTCCTTTTCAAGCTGCATGTCAGTTTTAGAGAAGGATGGTGGCGGATGCTTTCAATGGACATCTTGCTGCTCCTGGTGCGAATATGAGAAAGCGACCTCAGCGGTTCCTCGTGTTCCCACAAGGTGCTGTAGCTTAAGGGGGTACGTTTAAAGAGAAAGACATATCACAAGGTGCTCGCTTTGTTGCATGTTGCTGGGAGAAACATGGTATGTATCAAAATGTGTATGCTCTCTTTGACGGAATGAACCAGAAGCCAAGAGGAAGCCGAACACATCATGAATCATGAATAATATTGCCTTACCTGCCCAAAAACCAAGGATGGCATCCATGTCCTGCAAGCAAGCCAGAGTGGCATCATGGCGCTCACGACTTCTTCCTATCGCGATGCCGGGCACTTGCGCCAAGAAACTAAGATCAAAGCCGAATGCTTTAAGACAGTGCTATTCAATTCGTTCTTGTCAAAGGTTGACCCTGCTCTCATTTTGCACGTTGCATCAGATCGTACCTTTTGCCTTGGCGACCCCTCAACCATCACTGGACATCCTTCCCACCTTAGAAGACTGGCTAGAGTCCTTTATAGCTACTGATCGAAATTGCCGGGGTCATATAGTATCTATGTACACACGTCGCCCTCAGCGAAACAAATACCGACCGCCACTGCATCTTCATGTTCACAACATGAATGCATCGATCTGGCTTGGGCAAAAGTCCAGGGCGCTCCTGAATGTCCTCCCTGAAGTGCGTCCAAAGCATGTAGCCGGCGCCGCTAAGCAGGGCAATGATCGCTGGTACCTCTGGCAACAGAAAAGACACTCCAATCGCACTTTTGTCATGAACCAAAATCCATCTCATGTGCTGCCAGTTGTGGACCAACAAGGTTAGGAACTTTACACCGGAAGGGACTGCTGGGGGGATCAGAATTCGGCTAGGAGTCGACATCTGGCACCCTCTTGACAAACGCTCCATGGAAAGAAGGCATCTGAACTTTCGTGAGACGCCCTGAATTGGAACCTCCAATAAATGATGACTCTGTGGGTACGCTGATACGGTCTTTGTTCAACGGCGCACCAACAGGCTGAACTCGCCCCACACCCGGGCCAGCCCGGACCCTGCAGCAACGCCTAAGTTGGCCGTGCCCGGCGCTTGGCAAGATGCTTCGGTACACACCCACAACCACAAACACGTACACATACACAAACACAGTTGCACGCATACACATCCGCACACACAACACCCACACACACACACCCAAACGATTTGCGTGGACATGCGTAAGCCGTGCCCGCTTACTGGAGCGGGTTCCATGAGGAACCGACTACCTGTGACACCGGTTGTGCACCGAACGTTTCATTGGCGCTTCCGCGCTTGTTACTCTCCTGCGTACCGACGAAAGGCGTGCAACTTGGCGAATGGTCAAGACCGGTTCAATCCCATCCGAATGCCAAAGGCGCCGGCCAACACATATGTCACACAAAGTTCTGGTAACCTTGAAGAGATACCATGAAACTAAGCGGTCTAAAACAAATGCCCCATGCTCAAAACGGAGCTGTCAAAGACCCTGATCATGGCACTTATAGGTGTTTCTCATACAGCATCTCCCGCATTTACATTCCGAGTTCAAGCTGCCGCGCCTGCCAGAAAGCTCAGGAGAAGCAGCAGCAGAAGCAAGAGCTTCCTGTGCAGCTTGATCAGCAACATCAACAACGTGCTTCGCTTGGAATGAATATAACGTGACTTGCACAACCACGCAATGATACAAGGAGCCAGAAATCGGACATGTGAGTTTGCTAAGCCCTACAAGTTGTTTGCAAAAAGGGGCCAGGGCTCTCAAGCCGCCCGCCCCCCCGCCCTTTGTCTGATACTTGGTGCTGGGCATGCTTCACTTTCTCGATTTCTGCAGAAAGGAAACAACGGGGCAAACAATTCTGAATGCCTTGTCAAACGTGGCTAATCTCGCCATCACACAGCGCAGTTTCGGTGGTGCTGAAGTGTTGCTCAACGTTATTAGCCCCTGCCTCTTGAGAACCTTGGAGGGGCTTTGTGTTCGCAACTTGCTTCGTCGTGTTTGAAATCAACAACCAAAGCTTGAGCTGCTTCAGACTGCTGCTAACATCATTGCACTCCAGTGATTTGTTGTGTTCCGCGTTCATGGTCATTGCGCGAGAGCAAGCTCAAAACCGGCCATCTGAGCTTGCAATTGAAGGAATGAATGGCCCCTCATCGTATTGCTTGGAAAATAAGAAAACAACTTGTGGCTCACATTGACATGCGGCCTCGCAAAGTTTGGACACTTTCCTAGCCAAATTATCCGAAGCAAGCAATAACGCTATTCTCGATGGATGGCAGCAGCACAATTACATATTCTGATCTCAAAAGGGTGGAAGCAAGCAAGTCCCTCATTTCCACTAAAGTGTGATAGACACCTTTTGGCTCGTACCCGAGGTCTGGCCTCTCTTCACCTGGCTCTTCATCTGCGAAGGTCAGACGCTTGCAGAGTCTTCGCCGGAAGAATGACATGATGTGCCTGACATGCGCGGAAGCTAGGCATGCCAGCACCCACGTTTTGTGCCTAGCCACGGCACGTGGCACAGCTCTCCTTTTTGGCCTAACGCCACTCTCCTGACCTGTTGCTTCCAAGCTCCGCAACAATCAAGGACTTGGGCTGCTCTTTCATCCTACAGACATTATGGAAGTATGGCGGAGACCCACAGGAATATCCATGACCCACGTTGACAAGCTCCCAATTGCGCCCAATCGCCACAGCTGGTAACACGCAAAAAAAAGCCTGATCAATTCCCGTTACACCACTTTTGGCTGGGCCCCCAGAAAAGGGACTAAGCTACCAATGAGATTCTTGAGAGAATCGATGGGGGGCATTCCCAAAAATGAATCCTATTATCAGATCCGCCTTCCCGTGATCAGCCCGATGTCGGTAGCAATGCCAGTCACATGCGTGGTGCGGACAACGGAGCCAGTGTAGGAAGACATGATGCCATTCTGTAGCCCACACGCCTCAGCAGGCTTTGCAAGGAGTGGCGCCTGTGCTTTTGGCTGACTTGCTTGTCTGGCTTCTATGCACCTTCTGGAGTGAACTCAACAAGCAATGTGCATTCATCTGCCGCCTTCAAGCTTCCTTCAACATCGCGGTCCAAAAAATGCCTATAGACTACTTTGTGACCTTGACGAGTGCATGAACATAACAACTACTTTGTGGCCTTGTTGTCACCTTTCAAGCCACTGCCTTGCGAGTTGGAAAGCTGCAGAAACAGAGACGCTTCTCGACTTGATGCCCACTTTCGTCAGACGAGATGGGAGAGCCTGCTTTTGGTGGTCTTGACAAAGGAAGTTAAGAGTATGTGGAGGCTGGAGGTGGTGGCTGATCCACAGCCAGTTCTTCACGGGCTCCGAACCATGCCTGACTTCAGCAAAGCATACTCTGCATCATGGCAACCGACCAGCATGTTGAAGTTGTTCCACTCACCCAAGGCAAGTCTTTTTGGACCCGTAGAATGATTGGCTGTAGATCAACGAAACACCTATCAGAGTTGGACGTCCGAGGCTGCGGCAAAGCATAGCGAGTAGACGGCTGCGTCTTGTGACACGGAAAACATAAAGGTGGCGAAGACCTGAGAAACTCCAGCAGGCAGCAGGAAAACAGGGGGTTTGGGCCAAGCGATTCATCATGATCCGTCCCCTTGACATTGCCTTTGTGAAAGGCATGGCCGACATATACCGCTGCAAAATCATCTCCCTGTTGCATGCTGATCTGTAACCCTTGCATGCAAACAACTCGATCCTGAACTGGTTTTTACTGCATCTTGGCTCGGAAGTTTGGAGTGTGTCCTTGAGGCCCAGGCAAGAATAAACCCTGACGAGGTCATCGCAACGCCGTAGCCCATGCAGGCCATCTTGACCTCGCAGTGACACATCGAACAGTTGACGGATACGCGCTAGCCTGGCCAGCCCAACGACGACACTAGCAATCCTAAATGAACGTCTCGAAATGTCTCGAAAGACAGGTTCCCCAGCTGCAAACATGTGGACGAGATGGGGAATACGCGCGTGTTTCACATCTCCGTGGCCCAGCACGCGAACCTTCAACGTGGCTCCTCTGCCCTCCTTTTCGAACAGAACAAAGGGACTCAAAGAAGCCTGTACAGTGGGGTGCCTGCTGGACAGCGTCGAAAGGAAGCCTGGAACTCTGGAACCCTCACGGTTTTGTTGTTTCTGCGGTAGTCAGACATGCTTCGTTTGATTGAAAGTGCCGCAATGCCCCACATGGGATCGCGATCGCATCGGTTGGGCTAATCGATCCCAAGAAGACAACCATAGCACCAAACCGCCTTTCCTGCACCTCGAACATGTGCCAACTTTCCCCCATGTGAGCAGTGTTTTGTTGGTGGTTCGGGGCCTATGCACTACTTGCACGCCTACGCGAAGGCCTACGCAAGCCTACGCGGCCTGCGAGGGATGCCTACGCGAGCACAAGTCAGCTTCCAGGTGCCAACGCGGATGCCTACGCGGGCAAATGTTGAGTTCAAGTGTCGAAGTGCACCGTGGCAGCTCCAGCTGGAAAATCGCAACTTTTCAGCACAAGTGCAGTTTTGGCAGGCTCTACGATCAGAAATGCAGTACAAGTGAGAATCCCACATCTGTCCAAGGATCTGGCTGGCAGAAAACATCTACGTGCCCAAGATTCCTTGAAAGCCTACGCGAATGCCTACGCGGGGCCTACGCGAAGACTGCAGAACAAACAGAAGGAAGGCAAAAGAAGCAAATTCCTTCATATGTGGCAAACAGTCATGATCTGTTCAACAAACGCCTACGCGAAAAGCCTACGCGCGGGGTGACACAACAGCCTACGCGCTGAAGCCTGCGCGAGCCTACGCCCCCAACCAGGATTGTTCCCTTTTTGTAATTAACCCTTTCATTTGAATAAAAACCGCTGCTCATGTGAAGCGTTGTGAAGCTTCGGGGCCAATCCACAGGACAAAGCGCAATTACAAGGCCAACTTCGAGCACGGCAAAGCCATCACTGTGAAGATCCACATGTTGCCTACGCAAGATGCCTACGCGAAGCAGTAGCCTACGCGAGCCTATGCCCCCCAACCAGGATTGCCTCCGCGGACAACATGCAGTTCCCCATTTGTATTAACGATTTAAAACCGCTGCTCACATGACTTACATGAAATTACATTGCATTAATACATTACATACATAAATACATACATGCATGCATGCATGCATACAGACATACATACTCTACATTTCATACACACATTACATACGTACATACATACACACGTTGATTACATGATTACATACATCAAGCGCATTACATTTCATTACATTACATTCCTTTACATTGCCTTACATTGTAATACATTACAGTACGTTACATGACATTACAGCATTCACTACATAAATACATGCATACATACATGACACAACATACAAACATACATGCGTGTATACATGCGTACATACATACATTGCATGCATACATGCAGACATACATACATACATCCAGTACATACACATATACATGCATACATACATACATACATGCATACATACATACATACATACATACATACATACACACATACATACATACATTACACACATACCTACATACATACATACATACATTTGCAGTACACTACATTACATTGCATGTTTCATACATACGTACATGCAGCACATACATAACTACATACATACATATTTACATTCCACACATACACACATTACATCACATTACGTTACGTTACCTTATGCTACGCTACGTTACGTTGCGTTGCATTACACGCACACACATGCACACATTGACATACCCACATACCCACATGCCTGCAGACGTACACACCTATATACCTACATACGTACATACATACTTACATGCACAAACATAAACATAAACATAAACACAAATGCTGAGGATGCGAAAAGCGAAAACCGAAAAAAACCAATGAAAAGCCGGTTTGCGAGGAACTGGGAATGCAAAGAACGCAAACCAAAGACGAAAAAGCCACCAAAAGCCGCATAACCATGAAAAAGCCACAAAAGCCAAAAAGCTGCCCTCCTTGAAACAACAATTCGCCTTGGTCTTCAACAACGGCTCAGGTCTAAATTGCTCACGACCCCATGTCGCACAGCCAAAATCCCTGCTCCCGCTGCCAGTCCGCCTGAAACAAGCCTGAGGTGCCCTACCCCCCTCAAACCGCAAAGTCCCTCCAGAAACCGATCAAACCCCCCCTCTAGAAAGTGATCAAATCCCTACAACCTGCAGAAACCAAACCGATCAAATCACCCCTAGAAACCGGTGAACTTCCCATCTGGACCAGCGCAATCCCCTCGAAAGAACGGTCCAACTCCAACCAAATCCCGCCAAATTCCCCCTCTCAAAGCCGGTTCAACTCTGGTCAAACCCCCGACAAAATCCCTTAAAAAACGGAACTTTTCTGTAGAAACCTGTCAAATCCCCGTAAAAACAGGTCCAAGTCGTGTCAAATTCCCCTCAGAAACCCGCAGCATCCCCCCCCAAGAAACCAGTCAAATTCCCTAGAAATTTGCACCTTCGCTTGGCCCATGCAAACATGCACCCCCTCTATCTTGGAAACCAGCTCACGCATTTCGACGCCTACTCACTCACTCTAATAAACACAAAACTTCAAGGCAAACTCAAGCACGGTATATACCTCAAAGCCATCCAATAGCGGACTGGCCGAGGCGGGCAACGCGAAGCGTTTACAATAACATCCTAAACAAACCAAACACATCGTAAACAAAATGGTCTCCGAATGGGGCAACACCAAACCAATGTGAACCAGTCATGATTCTGGATCTCCTCTGAACATGTACAATCGCGGGTAGAAAGGGCGAGTCCCCCCAAAGAAACATGGACTGACAAGTTGCTTGTTACAAATGAAGCTCATCCAAGGGTCTAAGCTCCCAAACATCCCCAAACTGGGACACGTGGGGGTGCACGGGGGCGCAGTAGAACGGGTGTGCTTCACATTTGGCATGGGACACGCGGGAACATGGGTTCTGTGCTGACTGCGGGTGTGCTTATCATTCGGGGTACATGGGTTGGGTGCTGAGCGTGCGCAGTCCTAAAAGTGCTGGTTTCAGCTTCTAGGCTACAATGATCGAGTGCCACAAATGACAGCCTTCTTTTAGGCTTTCTCCTCACTGCCATCTATGGCAAATCCCAATGTGGTTTTTCAGCGACCCTGTGGCAATAGGTTGCTCTGGGCTTGCCGACGGCACTGCGCCTAATGATGCAACCACAGACCTCGGATCAGAGAGGCTGCGGCAAGCAGGGCCGGCAGGGTTTTCTTGAAAGTGCACCTTTGTTTGCCTTGAAACAAGAAACCAAATACTCTGACGTTCTCTGACAGAGGACTTCAGCGACTGTTTGACAGTGGAAGATGGCCATTCCGGCTGCTCTCTCTCAATTGAGGCTGACACCGGCTGAGCACACAATACACTAGCTCATGTTGCATTTCAAGGGGGACTGGTTCCAAACAGGGCCAACATTGACTTTGTGCAGTTGAAGATCTACAGAGTCAGCTCTCTCTGAGTGCGTCGCTATGCTGCCCACTAGGAAGAACGCCACAAGCCTCCAGAGTGTACTCGGAACCAAACCTGCCCTAACGCCTGGGGAACTCTTCCGCTGAACGATGCTGCTAGAACAAACACCGGATTGACCTGGGTCCAAACCCCGTTGCCCTGCACAGCGAAGCCCCCAAATCCCAAATCCGACATGTGGGTCTAGGTCGCGGACAGGACCATCTTGTCAACGTTGCCTCTTTCGCCCACTGCGTGCAGGGAGACCTCGCGCTGGAGATCTCTCGAGACTTTCCAGTTGTACAATCTACGCCGCTTTCCAACTTGTAACATGCGTGCAATAAACGGCCTTTGGCGTTGCAACCCCAGCAGCGTGCCTTGGAGACGGTACCGGTCACGTGGCTGACAAGCGTCTCTGCGACTTCGAAGGAGATCGCATTGACCATTCCGGCGCAGCCCTGGCAAATGAGCCAAAGAAAAACATGTCCTGCTCCCAAACCCATGTGTTGCTGCTGGTGACTTGGCACTCATGAAGGCACACGCTGCTCTTGCATGCTGGAACTTCCTGTCTGGGTCAATCTATAGCCTACATTCCCAGCCCAAATCAGTGATTGCCATGGACATCTCCATTTCTAATGGATGGGCTTGGCTCTCCACGTGCCGTGCATGAGCTCGCATTGTCTCGTGACTCTGAGGCGAGCGCTGCTAGAAGAATGCCGGATGCAATCACCAACGGCCTGAAGCGTGCAGGTCTCATTGATCGAGAGACAAGCATAACATGCCGAATAACCAGCGCCAGAAGTCTTCCGCCCGGTGGTTCTGTCTCGTGTGTGTGTGTGTGAGTGGGCAAGACTTGGGAGGAAGTTGTTTGCAAAGCAAACTGAGGGCGGGCCTCCACATCTGATTGCGATACCAGTGCGTAGCGAAAGACGTTGACAAGGCATGGTAGAACTGTTGAGGACAACCCCTGCACCCGCTGGGAGCTTGTGACGTCTAACAACCAAGTAATTGCTGAACCAAAGGAAAAAACAATAGATGTAAACATGACAACTTCATTCCCAATCCGATAACTAGTCGGACAAGTAGCTGACAAATCTGAGAGGGTGGAAGGCCCTCGTGGAGGCCCTAACCGGACTCCGATACTTCAAGAGACGACACCAACCCACGCACATGAATCAGGTATTGACCACGGACAGATTCTGGTCACCACCTACCCTGACCTGACATTTTCGCAGCCCTTCTGCAAGTGTTGCAAGTGCTCATCGGCCAACATATTCCTTACAGCTCCGCCATACATACATCTGCCTAACCTTTAAGTTGGCAAAGGCGTTTTGCAAACGGCTGCGGCAACCCTTGTTATTGCGCTGAGCTCCCCAACATGAAGGGATCTACATCCAGCTTGTAGACCGCAGCGGCATCTGAGAGAAGATGCGGGCCAGTGGGAGTCTTTGAGCAGGTGTGGCAGTGCATTGTGCTTGTTCAAGGCGTATCATGTCTACAATTGTTCAAAGGAATCACATGAGGGGATTTCCAGCTAAGCTTTTCGGCCACTGGGACATCACTTAGTGTCAACCTGGAAGGAATATTTACACATATTGCCCTGGCAACAAAGGAAGCAATCATTGGGTAATCATCCGCTGACAACTGCCATCAAGCGAGACCTTCAGCCGCCAAGGCAAATAGATGACCAAATCATAAGCTCCACGGTCAGTGAGCTGATGTCTATGTTCTGGACAAATCAACCATTGCCCACCAAGCGGTATTCTCATGCGGAAGGTCACATACTGTTCGGGTCAGCCTTACACCTGCGAAGCATCTGCCACTTTGTTGCCCACGCGGGCAAGAGGGGCGCACCTGAAAGGAATCGAACGGGTGGATACCACTGGGCAGCTGGGAGCCCCACCGCCCAGGCGAGTCTTTGCCGCCAACTTCGTAATTTGCCTGGTCAGGGAGTTCCTTCTCCTGGTCGGATCGACTAGCAGCTCACCCCATGGATTATTCAATGGTTCTCTTGAAAGGAATCCCCAGCAAAAAGGGACCCAATGGCGTGAGCACGCCTTTTAGGGGTCAACACTTCGTGGTGAACAATTGCTTGGGGATGCGTCAAAATGGGGTGGACCCTTTAACTTTGCCGCATGCAAAAATGAAACGAACATGACACCACTGAAAAAATCCTCCCTAGTTACCAAATGCAAGAGGCTCACGAAGGGCCCATGCCCCCTAGTCGCCAGTCGTCAAGCCCCTTTTTTGGGATAACTTGTTCGCTGTCGCAAGGGCCTGAATCAACTGCCCGGCACACATGAAAGTCTCATGTGGTCTATCTAGGGCATGTCAAAAGCAACTCACGCTAATTTGCCAAGCTGAGCACGCATGCGGTGACCTGCGGGGATCCAACCTCGGGCGACGCCTTTCCGTTCAGATTCGTTCTTCTGTACACACCCCCAACCTCACACGAACAGGTGTGAAACCTGCCAAGAACACCAAGCTAGTTTCGCCCACTCCACACAGCCATGAATGACTTACCTAACGTTCACAACACGCTAGGACTCGACCCATGGTTGAGTCACGAATCGAACATAGGCTGTCGCCCTTTTGGGACTGCCCGCAAAATAAATCTTTACAATCCGGTCCTTGGTCGGTACAACCCACGTCCCACGGGTCTGTCCCGGAAGCACTCTTCGCAGTATCTTTCGATGCCCGGGATGCAACTTCCGACAGATCATCTGGACTCACCTGCGACGGAACGGAAGACTGAAACGCCTGTCCCAGCCTCAAAAACAGAATGCATTCATAGAACCAGGACCCCAAAAAAGAATAGGTTGGACATATGCGAGCGATGGACATTTGTTTATGCCGCTATGCCCATGATTTGTCAACGCACCTAGCAATGATTTTCACAGAGAAGCCACATGAAACATGCCGGCGCTCTTCAGTGCATCTATTGCTCGCTTCCCGCTTGGCCATATTGGTCGGCGGTGGTTCTTCACACAGAGCGGGTTGGCAACAAAGGTTTGTATTGATTCCACAGGTCTTGCAAGATGTGGGGTTGATATTGGCAGTTTCCAGGATGTGGTCAGCCCACACCTGTTTGCCAGCATGAACATAAATTAAACTCCTCAGAACAAAAGCAGAAGCAAGATTGATGCCACCTGATCCAGCAGTTTCCTCTGTCAAGCAGTCTGGCAATCTAGCAGCTACATATTGACGTTCCTGCAACATGATTCTGATATCGTGCTTCAGTACCAATCAAAAAGCGTGCGCCGTGAAACACGAGCAGCGTTGGCACGGCCGAACGGAAGTTTAGCCCTCCGGGTCCAAGCGAGCTGTGCTAAACCCGAAAATGGCCAAGGCCCCGAAGGCAACAGGTTTTAGGAAAACCAAAAGCTCCCATGTTTGGGGTCTATGATACCCAGCTTCAAGGGAAGACCAATAGAAAGGCGGGCATCCAACCCATCCACTGTTGTGCCTGCGCCATGGCATCGCGGGCACCGCTGCCCGAGCCAAAGACGCTGCCGGTAGGTGGGAACGCAGCACCCATCAAGTCAGTGGCGAAGCAAACAAAGCGAACATACCAAATAAGACCCTGACCACTGATCAAACCACAAGTCTTGACATTGTAATTACACAGCAGAGTCCTGCACATTAAAAATCTATTCCCCTGTCTAATCGAGGCTTTTGCCAAACAAGTGCGTGGGTTCTTGAGGGTACGAGTATCTGGGGATTCATCTTTTTTTCCTGGCCCCCAAATGACCATGGGTATTTTTTGCCATTTCGTGGGACATGACACACATATTTTTCGTGGTTTTGCGCGCATGGTCACCCCCACAGCCTCGAGACCTCCCTGGCCACCTTCTCAATGCCGTCGTCAGCGCTGGCAGGGAACAAAGTCATGGCCATGGGTAGAGTGCTGCATGGGTAGCTTGACACTTTTTTGGGGGCCCCCCAAATGGTGGTTTTCCGTTCGGCTTCCTTTTCTTAGACTAAGCAACAAGGGGCTCCCCCAACAAAGATATTATAGACCCCATATGATCACATTTTTGTGGGATGCATGAACACCCAAGCTGGAGGAGGTGCACGACGCCTACCACAAGCAAGCCCAAGACCAGACCCCTGCAGTTAGCTCCGAGCGTCCTAGATGCACTCAGCACATCGCAAAGACTGTGTTTTCCAGACCATTGCTGTAGAGAAGGAGAAGGAGAAGGAGGAGGAGGAGGAGGAGGAGGAGGAGGATGTGATCAGTGGGAGCAATGAATGGCGGGGTCCCTGAGACAGGAGGAGAAAGAGAAGTGCCGAGCAAAGGGAGAGCCCGCAGCGTTCGCCTATACTGCGGCACCATCACATCGATATTGGTGACAGTCCACAGCAGCAAGAACTCCTGGCCAAACAGATTCGCAGCTTGTGACTTTTGCAACCCCCCAAACGAACAAAGGGCACTGTATGGCCTGCAAAGGGGGAAGACGGGAAAAGCAACAGAACCCGGCAAGCCGGTGAAGCAATCGTTTCCTCCGGAGGTCTGGAGTGCGGCGCAACACCATGGACTTTTGTGTGTTCCAGCCATGGTGTCGGATTCCTGCTTCGGTCCTGGTTGCTTTTTGCGGTTGGTTTCCCAACAAAGGATCAGCCAAGAGGCTTGCAGCAAGCCGCTCTGGTTTTCTCACATGGCTTTCGAACTGAGTTGGGTGTTTGAGGTGTGTGAGATTCGGAGGCCCCAAAGCCTGTGCCCGAGAGGTTTCCGCTCAGCAACCGAAAAGAGGACCGAGAGCACGCTGCACCTTGTAGCTGTCGGCTTTCATTTGCGCAGGACGCAAAGCCTGACAACTGATGCTGACCGATTTTGCCAGGACCTACTCGTCACACAACCCCAAGCTATTAGAAAAAGTACCCAGTACTGTCTGGGATTACCTATTTGTCGGGTAGGCCTGTAGAGCTTATGCAAGCAAAGCCGCCAGAATGCGGGGTCCTTCGATTTCAGCGGTGGGATCAAACACTCAACTAGCTTCCTACCCAGGAAGCTGCATGGAGTTGCCTCTTTCACGACGTAATTAGGGCGTGGGTCAAACAAAAATGCCCGAAATGGCTAGCCCTAAATGGAAATAAGGACTAGACCCGCGGCCCAATTCCCGGCGCCTTGATTTTGCCCCAGAACCCCATTTGATATCCATTTGACTCACTTGGCCAGTGACCAGCCGAAAAAAAGTGTACACTTTTTGGGGGAGAGCCACCTCCAGAAAAAAAAACAGAGAAAAAACGAAAACAAGTGGTGAATGTTGTGTCCACTGGCGTGAGTTGATGCCGAGGCTCCGCGCTGGCTTCGCACACACCGCCAGCTGCCAGAAGGTGTTTTTCCTGGCCGCTGATTTTTCGCATTCACGGAATCCTTATGAATCCGTAGCGATAATGAACCTCCCTGAAACGTGATCCTAATCACTGTAGCGGATCTGAATCA